GATATTTTCAATTTCGAATGACGTCAGTAAATGTGTTAAAAATGGCATGCCCATAAATACCTTACGCAGAAATCAGTGGGCCGTGAATTTTTTTAACAGTTGGCTGAATAATAAGCACAATAGAGAAAGAAAACTCCTGTGTACGCTGAAGGATATGAGTATATAAGATGTTAATTTTTAGATGCGTAGATTCGTCTTGGAAGTAAGCAAAATAAAATGATGAATATCACCCACCGAATTCCATATTTAGTTATGGAGAGCAAGAGACACAGAGAGGGACGGGCGAACAGAGAGTGAGTGACGGAAAGAGAGAGTGGGGCAGAGAGACTGAGACCGACACAGAGAGGGGTGGACAGAAAGAGAGGGGGACAGAGAGACAGACAGAGAGCGGTAGGTGCAAGGTCATACCGCGATTAACACAATTTGGTTCAATTAAACTTCAATGATTCGTTTGAACGTAGGGGTCTTTAGTTGTGGGAGGAAACCAGAGGGCCCGACGGAAACCCACGAGGTTAGACAGGTGACCCTACATCTAGAAATGTTGGCTCGAAACCCATAACTCGAATCAAAGACAGAACTTGTTATCTAAAGTCTATTCGACCAACCTTTCACCCCACCCCCTTCAATTGGTGAAAAAAATCGAACTCACTTGCCCTCGGTGTATACACCCAACAAATTGATAACAGTCATAGATATATTTAGTATTTCATGTCAAAATATTAATGCTAAACAACCTCAGCAACCTACCCCTGGATGAACTTTCTCGGCCAATGCAGGAATCGGACACCCGGCCTCCAGGGTAACGAGCCAGCGTCTTAGTCACTTAGCCCCGTTTTCTGCAGTCAAGTTTTAGTAAATAAACATGATTTTGAGGCATAAGGATATCCGAGTTAAGAGGTTGGTTACGCTGAAATGTTGGTTAGGTTGAAATGTAGGGCGGACAATTGTGTGTTTTCTAGTATGCTGCATGATATGTAGCACCATGCGTCTTCTGTCAGACGTGGAGAGCGGGCGTGGGAAAACCGGTCGCCACATCCTACGTACGACCCATGTATCTTTTCTTACTACATATCTTAGTAGCCTTGTGATCGTCTAGAATTTGTCTCTAGCTGTCTTTGCTTCTGCTTCACGTTGTGTATTTACTTCTTACTGTTTTCTTAAGATGTCTGAGTACCCAGTCGGAGCAGAACAGTAAACTTTAAACCACATTTCTTTTCATTTTATTTCTTTAAATCGTCGGGAATAAATCTAATCAAGTACCACCCGGTCAGCATATCTACCCAAATTGTTTGAAATTCACAACACATTTACGTTAAAGAAGTCCCAAGAAGAGATCTAAAGTTTATGAGTATAATTTAGCCGATAGTGTTAAACGTGTTAACAGATTGCCATAACACCGTGATATGTGTTGGATATATACCTATATGTGTGCATATAAAATAGATTTTATTATCACTCCCCAATATTTAGTGCCACACAAACTGGAGCCTTACACAGGGGGGTTCACTTGGGTGGGGATTGGGGCTTTTTTGCCTGATGATCGAAACGAGAGGATGATCGTACAGGAGAACCTGAGAAAACCAACCAGATGCGATTATAATGATTAAATTCTGAAGTTGCGTGAAGGTATGCCTTAGCAACAGATCTCACTCTCACTTGAATTTACGTATGTGTTCATGTGAGAAGACGAATCCAATCTGGTTCCAGCGTTCTGCGATCTTTTTGGAGTTTCCCCCCCTTATTCGAAAACCTTTTAAGGCAATTAAAACTACAGGTACTAATTCATGGATTATAATTTAGTTTATTTGCTTAATTCGCGATTCAGGAACATTGATAGTTTACCAAGATGGGAGTATTTTGTACACGTTCATTGAGAATTAATTTTATTGCAAGAAATTCACACATGCATAGAAATATAATACAATATATATTCAATGATACATAAATATAAATATAAAATACGTATTTGAAATATTAAAACGAGATTTAAGACGTGACAATAAAATATCATGATCAATCGTGTCAAATGCGGCTGATAAATCTATAAGAACCAGAACTACACCTTCACCAATGGATATTAAAATGTCATTATAAACTCTTACTAAAGCCGTTTCGACACTGTGAAATTCTCTGTATGCTGACTGAAATTTTGAATACAAGTTAAAACACGATCCATGATTATGCAACTGGTTAGAAACAACTTTCTCAATAATGTACGATACCACTCTGTAATTGTAGAGTTCATTTTGATTACATAAACAAACCCATAGAATGGTGGAAAATATTGCTTTCTGTTTACCGAAAAATAAAGACGTCCTATCTTTCACACAATAACTATCAAAGTGACAACCACGTGACCAAGTAATTTTTAATTAGCTAATGTGACCATAATCATGTTTGAATAGTTTTAAAGGTGTTCATAAATGCCTAATTAATTAAAGCATTCGCGACACCTTCTATCCCTATGGCTATTAATTAACCGCGGCATTCAATAAGATCACTAATGACTGTATTAAGATATAGCCATTCATGCCTGAGGGTTGAATTACATGACAAATGAACTGACAGAGTTTAATATCCTACTTTTCGTCACCAACCGGTGTAATGCAGATGAACATACGCAATGGAATGTGCTTTGAGGACCATTTTGTCCGTACAATGACTTAGTCATATTTCGAATTCCAACGGTGAATGGTTCTCTAATGGCACGTCCAAGTGTACACAGGGTACAGATTTTTATCCCATTCTCACGATTAGACGTTGTTGCTTTCGGGAAACCATGCCAGAAGTTCTTTCTCGGCCTAAACCGGGAACCTGTTTTACACCTATCTGGATTCTCATCATTATCAGTGCGACGTCATGCTCATAAATTAATCATGTTTTATAAAATTTTAAATAATATAGCTCATGTTAAGGACTGAATTATATTGTTGTAATAGTTTGTAAATTGTATTTTCTTTTCATTTTATTTTGTATTTTCGTTTCATTTTTTTTTTTTATATTTTCATTTCATTTTGTATTTTTGTTTTGTTTATTCCGGAATTATTCTTGCCGTCTTATTCCGCCAATTACCTCTTCTAAGAACCTTTACAACTTACGCAATTCCGACATGACACGAATTAAATGTAAAACAAATATTTATAAAAACTCCTTTTCGTCTTCTGCTTTAAAAACGTGAAATAGTTTAGATAGTTTAGATAATGACATACAAATGGTTTCATCAGTCTTTGATTTTAAAACTAAACTTATTCCCCCAAACTAAAGAAATGTTTTTCTATAGCAGATAGCAATTTCAAATTATCCATTGTAAACTGCGTAAAGATAAAAGTGATTTAATATACCAAAGTTCCTTATGCATATTTATGACAATCCTCGATATGACTGTGACCTCGACCTTGATCTGAACTCTTTTTACTCCACTGTGACACTGTCCGAATTACACACACCAGCGACATGATACCATTCATACCCATGTATTATAGAAATATTACTTGCCTACTCTATGGTAATGCCGAACTATCTCCTCACGTCAACTCCGATATTTTTAAAACTGTTTACTAAATATTAAACTTACGAAAAGTTTTACTCCGTGAAATATAACCCTGTGCCAAGGAATTCATGAATTCGTTTATTTTATTTTATTTATTAAATTACTTATCTACTTATTTATGCTATAACTAAATTACTGTCATTTTTTTTAAAAATTACCTATCTAAAATACTGTAAATTATTTTAAATTACTTACTTACTAATTTGTACTTTAACTAAAATCCACAACTCCTTCATAAGAAGATATATTAATTAACGCCCGAGATACGAAATGCATAATTATTGATAGAATCATACATCCTCAAAACCAGGAAAACAATAAATTATCCAAACTCGGGGTTAAGCATCCCGTTGCAAATTTAAAACAAGTACGAGCGTACTATGGACCAGAAACTGACCATGATCTTTGAGAATATGATTCATAGAGTTCCCCCTCATTCGGGTACATATAGAATTTGAAAAGATTTTTTTTAGCGAAGGATGATACAGTTATGCCAATTTTCATGTTCATCGGATTTGAATTGATGGAGCCATATGCTTTTTCGAAGAGCGTGACCCCAAGAAGAAGTAGAAGATAAGTAGCGGTTCGCGATAAGTCATTTATAAAACTTTTGCACCAAATGGGTCCATGAAGAAGGACATGCTTTATGCGATGTACTATAAGGGGAATCTTGCCCGGACAACGACACTGCGGCCTACTCTTACATCGATTTCTGTCAGGGATCTTTAACGTCCACATTTTTACTGCATTAAATTGGCCGACGAAAACTTGCAGTTTATATTACTCTCTCTGCAAGTTACACTAGAACAATTTATTTATATAATTCAGTCGACCACTATATCTATCAATTTGATTGGAAAACGGCCTTTTGAGATCAGGATGTTGAAACGTCATGATTTCGAGAAAAACAAACGTCAAACGTTTATTTCTTAACAAATCATTACCATATGGATGTTTTCCATATAGGGTCGACACAAACCAAGACAAATCGGGACTAACATATGCAGAGGCGTAGCCGTGAAATATATATATTTTTTTTGTGGGGGGAGGGGGGTGCCCCCAAATGAAATTATATAAAATGTTGACAATCTGTAACGCCGGAGGCGCGGGGGAGCCCACCCCCAATAATTTTTTTTAAAAGTTTCAGTCTTCTGTAAACACTATTTTGGCATATTTTACGGGGTTACCAACTACATTAACTAGCTATGGCACTTGTGACTAGAATATGACATGGATAATGACTACATGACAGACCGTGAGCAACGGGTTCAACTTAATGTGTGTACGTTTTCTAATGTTACTTAAAATCGGGCGTACCCCAGAGTTCAGCATTTGGGCCGTTCTTATTCATTGCTTAAAATCCCCAAGAAATAAAACAATATAATAAGTTTATTGAAGATATACAGGTATATATAAAAAATATATCCCACATCTAAAATGGGTAAAAAAAAATTAAAATAAATCGAAGAATATTTAAATGGATAAATACACAGAATTCAATTAACCCATTGTTGTATTCAAATCAGTTAACCCCAGAACACGTCAGCAGGTCGTCCTTTAGTACCAAGATCGGTAACTCTAAATACTGATCCGGCCTGATCATCAGTAATATTCATATGACCGGATGTGACGTATAGCTCATCAAAGTTCTTGCCACCCCAACAACAGGAAGTGATTTGGCTTGTGGGAAAATTAATTCTGGAAATCTCTTGACCTGTAAATAAAATGTATGGTAACATTTCACAGTTTGGTTGAAATAAAAAAAAAATAATGAATGGATGAAATGGCGATTAACGGCCTACTTTTCTGCGCCTACTGGGCTAATGAAGACGGGTATACGGCCCCTACAGGGTAATTTTGCTCAGACAACAAACTCTACGCTCACATCAACGTGTATACGGTACCTCAGTTTTTCGTTCCAACTGAACACCTAAACATATTATAAACGATATAGTAAACACTTTATGTAAATATGAAGAACATTCGATTCAGAATTGTTTTCGATTTCCGATCAAACAGCACCAAAACATCTGGAAATCTACTGAATCTTGTTTTACTGCATGCGTTGCATGTCGCCAACCCACAGATAACCCGCGAATCGTGCCACAGATTGGACCATATGTTAGTCCCGAAATGACCTAGTTTGTGTCCAGTGGACGTTAAACTCCCCCACTCTCTCTCTCTCTCTCTGTGTTTAGTTTAGGATACTGTGGATTATAACTATTGCCACCAGTGTCGACGCTAGACAAAAAACTAGTTCATATGTTTGTATCTAAGAAAATAAAAGCTTACCAGTTTCTGGATCATAACGTACTATGCAGCTTCCATTAATAAATGCACACCATATTTTGTCATCTACATCCGACGTCATTCCATCGGGGTAGCCCAAAGTCTTAATGGTGTCTTCAGGGAATTTTATCAAAACTTGTTTGTTTGCTACAAAAACAATATATATACATAATCTTTATTGAACCTGGGCAGGGGGTGGGGTGACCTAATGTCTAAGGCGTGCGCTTTAGGTCATAATGTCTGTCTTGAATGGCGTGGTTTCGAGTCCCACCTTGTAGGTGACAAGAAATAGGGTCGCTTGTCTAAGTTCATGGGTTTTCTACGGGGCCTCCAGTTTTTCCCAGTGCCAAAGACTATTGTGAAGATGGACATACGCCATACAGGGTTCTAATAGGGAGATGTTGCCCGAACAGCCGACGTTAACGAAATTCAGCTGACAAGAGTCTCAGATTTTTCTTCCACCCAAACGACATGTTGCTGTTCTTGCACTACTGACATGGGACCTTCCCGGCCAATATCCAAAGGGATCGCGAGTCAGTATTTTACTCACTGAGTCACCGCGGTTCCCATTAAAAGATCAAGGTAATGCTTGTGACAGTGTTAGACGTTATGCATTAAAAGATGTCAGTGTGAAAAGAATTGACTTTCTGTTCATATCGGAATGCTTACTCAGGTTGCCAGTTTCAAGATCGAAATCGAAACTCCAGATTTCTCGTGGCTTGGTATCAACATAAAACATCTTTGTATTATTGTGTGTCCAAGGTAAACCATTTGATATTGTCATCTTATCTAGATGACGATTCACCTTCAAATCTTTTTCTAGGGTGTAAAGCGAGGCGTCTGCCATTTCCGGAAAGACAAGTTCTTTCATATATCCCATCGTACCTGCAATAACGAAAGTAAAATAACGACTTTTAGTCCAGTTCCTGTGGAGATTTATCTTGTAAAACAATAACTGTACTGGAGGATATCGAAGCTAGGAACAGAGGATAGTTAAATGTTTATTAGAACGTTACTTCCATCTTGTGTACCTCAAAATGTTCAAGGTCAGGTTCATATCCATTAGGCCTGGATTTCAACAGCATCTTCATCATGCGGATACAGAGCTTTCAGTTTTAGAAAATCCTTCAGTAGTTTGTTCTCATTTTTAAGAAAAATAAAGAAAACTATGTTCCAGTGCTTGAAACAATATAATAATTATATAAATGCAGGAGATTACAACTTAATTGATTTAGAATCAAATCATCTCTACATAAACAAAACAAAACAAAATAATAGGAAATTACGATGTTTAAATATGACACTATTAGGACAAGATTCAAAATGTACATCTCAATTATCACGGAATTGTTCTATGGGTATCATTTATGTAAATTGCTTTGGGAAGCTAGGTTATTTAAGCTATTCCTAGTTTCGGTATCCTATGAATAAAATACTGTATTACTATTTTTTTAGAAAATAGATTATTTAAACCAAGTGTAAAATATTGATGAAAATAAAGGCTTGTGGAATAGATTTACGTTAAAATACATGCAGAACGCTGATGTAGGGCTATATTAGAATGCAGTATATTACGATTTAATTCAGAATAAACAAATAAAATGCATTTGAACCGAAACTATCCTTTAGTTTCAATTTAGACGTAAATAAAAAAGACATTGAAGCCTATTCCCAGAGAATCCCCTTCAAAATTAATGATTGAAAAGTAATGTTTGTTAGATGATAATGTGTGAAAGTGTGATTCTGTTCTTTCCAAACTGTGTAAGAAGGGGAGAAATTGCTAAATTGCTTCTATAGTATCAGTTGGGGAGGGGATGGGGGTGACTATATTCAAATATCTTAAAACTATTTCTTTCTTCGCAAAATATGTGAAAGTGTGATGCCTTTCTTTTCAAACTGTGTAAGAAGGGAAGAATTTATAAATATCAAAATAATTGAAGGGGAAACGTTCAAGTATTAGTAATGAACAAATAACGTCTGATGAAGATGATAGTGGACTGTACACTGATGATGAATATGACTCTTTTATCTGAAAATGAAAATACACAGGGTAAAATAAAAAATCAAACTGCACAAGTAACATGCTTTCACCAAAACAGAAAAGGTTTCTGGAAAGGTATACAGTATCTGAAGACAAAATTAAAATATACAAGAAAACCAGACGAGGTTGTGCATCTGGAACGAAGAAACGTCACAAAATAAATAAGACAAAATTGTCAGACAAAAGTGAATCAAAAAAACAAACTCTTCCATTTAAATCCAAACCTTTCTCAATTGCCCTTTGGAAAACGCAATCTTCCCGAAATAAAACAACAGAAATCTTTGATCTGTTAATTGATTTCAATCACGATATTTTTGTTATCACTGAATCTTGGCTACGTCCAACCGGTGATGAAAATTTCATAGCTGCTATGACACCGCCATCCTATTCGTTTATGTATGTTGCTAGAGCTCATACCACCGGTGGTGGTATAGCAGTCATCAACAAAGGGTCTCTTACTGTTGAACAGCTAAGCGACAAGATTACTACTAACTCCTTAGAAAAGCTTTCTTTGAAAATCACCACAGCCAACATAACCCTTAAAGTCCTCCCGCCATCTTCGAAAAATAGACTTCTTCCTTCTGATTTTTATGATGAATTTTCATCCCTTTTATTAGCACACTCTAAAACCAACACATTAATTCTAGGTGACTTTAATATCTAATATTATCATCTGGACAAACAAGTGGTAAAAAAGTTTGTGTCACTCCTTGAGGGCAGAAGCTTTGATCATCAACATGTGAGCAAACCCACTCACAAATCAGGCAACATTTTGGACTGGGTTCTGACTCCATCAGATTCTACTATTATCAATAAGTTAAATTGCAGAGTCTTCTGTACGTTGACACCCCTCAATGTTCTTAAAATCACCTAACGATCATATTCCTGAAGCAATGGCCCGAGAAATCCGTCTGTAGCCATTGCTGTATTGAGACGGAAAACTTGAGTCTTCGACGGAGCGTGTCCATTCTCGTTGTCGAATCAAATCTCCCCTGGGTAAAATATAAGGACTATTCAAGACTTAAAGGACAATATTGGTGCCAGTCATTATCCCATATGTGATAGAACTGATTAAACACATTCCAAATATAATTTTAACACAGAGATCATTGCTATGATAGCTGAGTAATACAGGTTTCCTGAATCGGAAGTGACCAACGCCAAAGGAAAACACGAGTCATACCTCTATATAACTGACTGATGTGACGAGTGATAACAGATACATCGGACAAGTTTAAGAGTTAGTCTAAATGAGAGAAGTTGAAATTATTCTAAATGCGTACTTAATAACAACAAGTTATATAATATGAAATTAATGAAGATCTGACCAAATTGCCAAGTATAAGTTCAATAATAATAAACATAACAGAATGAAACATTTCAAATAAAGAACGAATAGTAATAATAATAACAAAAGTCAAACATATGATGTTATACATATTTGAAATCAGCGAAACATACTACATATTTTGATAATACAATTGATTATAAATGAATGAGAGAGAGAGAGAGAGAGAGAGAGAGAGAGATGGGGTATAAAGTCCACTCGACACAAACTAGGTCATTTTGGGACTAACATATGGTTTAATTTTATTTCAATAATTCGCTTGCGCGTAGGGGTCTTTAGCAATGGGAGGAAACCGGAGGACCGGGAGAAAACCCACAAGTTGGACAGGCGACCCTACTCCTTGTCATGTACAACCGGGGATTCGAAACCACGCCAGTTGTCTCAATGACAGACTTCATGATACAGCGCGCACACGCTAACCATTCAGCCATCCAACCCCCAAATGAATTAGAAATATATACATTATTTACATAAATCATTCAGTAAATGGACATGAATTTGGGTAATTACCCTTATAAAATCGAAGGCGAAACGACTGGTTTGTAAACTGTTTCTTGATTAGTTCGTAGACCTTATCTACAATCAAGGCCAGGGCAGATAATTTGAAATCGTGGAAACCCTATGGATTAACCCAGGGTATAGTGGAGTAGAGCGAAATGAAAACAATGGGGATACCGAGGATGGACTTAACCGGGGTGACCTCTTTAAAAAAAACTCCTAGTGCCGATTTCAAGAAACATTTTACCCTTGGATGCATCGGAAACAAAAAAAGATACTCGCATATGTAAATTTGGCTGTCACTGAAACTCGCTACTGTCACAAAAATTCTTTGACTCAAATTTCCGATATAAATTCTATAAACGTGTACCAATTATTACTGTCTATCTTTAAATATTAGATATAATATTTATCCATTTTTGTGAAGAAAATCCATGAATTATTTATTGTTTAATACGTAACATGACAGCCTTTCTTTTTGATCTGCTGTGTGGTCCAAGAGATGATAAAAAGATTCCACGTTCGCGGCGATTACCAAATGTTTACATTGTAGCTATTTTGGATAGCCTCGTCTATCCCACAATTAGTTTCTCTGCAATATTCTGTTATGTACTAGGCCAATGAGCGTAACACATTTCGCGCGTTCTGGCGTAATGTAGCCGTGTTTGGCACCAGACACTTCACAATAACATATTTAGAGCTCTGGTTAATCCCGTTTGATTTTGTTGCGTCGTTATGTACTGGTTGTTGATCGGACGGTTAACCGGTCATAATTTGCGCTGGGTATCGCAGTGTTTGGGTGGGATTAGGTCTAATCAAACGAAACACTGCGAGGAGTATGCCTAACCATTTGATCAAGAAATAACAACCGCTCACCCCAGTCAAGGTAGCACACAATAAGCTAGCAGACTACAGTCGGGTTGTCAGTGATACCTTGACATTTTTGCCTAGTGCTTGCACCATGGGTGTTTTTCGGGTAATCCAGTATCTTCCTAGTAAGATTGGGTGTCTATTTCCATATACCAAATCTGCCATACTTTTATTGCAAATAAACACCCGATAAATACTATCGGGACAATGTAACTTTAATTATTTACCTCTAAACCTAACGGGGTTTGATGGTCGAATTGTTAGCGCGTGCGCGTTGTATCATAAGGTCTGTCATTGAGTCAACTGGCGTAGTTTCGATTCCCCGGAGGGTTTTCTCCGGGTCCTACGGTTTCCTCCTACTGCTAAAGACTCTACGCCCAAGGGAATTATTGAAATAAAACTTAACCATCTGTTAGTCCCGAAATGGCATAATTTGTATCGAATGGACGTTAACCCCCCCTCTCTCTCTCCCTCTCTCTCTCTCTCTCTCTCTACACTAATTTTTACGTACATAATTTGACCAATCTCCCTCTCCCTCTCTCTCTTCCTCTCTCTCTCTCTCTCTCTCCTGCACTAATTATTACGTAACATAATTTGACCAATCATTAAATCCATAATTAGACACCAATGAATATACTTTGTACAATTATTGGGTCACATATCATCTGTTCAAACAAATATCAACAGGAAATATAAACAATAAGAAACCACATTAAAGATAATCGTATCGATGATGGTATGGCGCCCATGTAATCGATATTTCATGTGTACACGCAAACCATCACAGATAATGTCTCATTTTATTCCTCGGCGTTTAGACAACCAGCCTCACTTCCTCCTTTTGAATAAACGGGATTTCTTTAAATGTATTATTTTGACATGTTTTTTTGATCAAATTTTAAAACAAAATAGAATGATCAGCTATTTAGTAAAACTTCTGGGATGGACGTCGGCTCTTCTTATTTACGACAGGCAATCAGGTATGTATGTATTTATTATATAAAA